AGGACTTCAACTCCCAGAATTCCCCAACCAGTTACCATCTGCCAGCTGGGGCAGTCCTTTCCAGCTTGGAGAAGTCCAAGACTTCAGCAGAACTGCTGGTGTTGGGAAACAGATTTGGGAGTGGGGGGGGGGGAGACAGAGCCCCCAAGGATGGCTTGGCCATTCCCAAAAGGCAGGGCCACTCTTCCGGCTCTCTCTGCAGAAATTCTCCCCAGTGTCTCTTTTCCGAGAGCCTCTTCCAGCCGTCCTTCCTCTTCCTCCTTCGTTCTTGGTAGGAACCGGCCCCGTTTTCCTGTGACCTTGGCCCACTCTTTAAACAAGAGAACATCTCAGCCTCCAGAAAGGCAGTGGGGGGCCCTTCCCCACCCGCTGTGCTTATGGGGAAGGGAGGCAGTGGCTTCAGGGCGGGTAATAAACCTGATTTATTGACCCGGCCCCAGAACAGCATCTGCAGCTAGTGAGCGAGTCTTAAATTTCATTCGGTGATAAATTCCAACAGCCAAGCCATTTGCTAGGAAAGCTAATTAGCTGGCGTGAGCCACAGACGCATTGACTTCAGGGCCCTGCCAGGGGGAGAGGCTGCCCCCTCCCCGGGGGTCTTCTTGATGGATAGGGACTGGGGGAGAGGGAAAGGGGGCCAAGGGGAGAGCTAGGGGAGGGGGCAAAGGCGGGGGGGGGCTGTCTCTGGCTTTCTCTGTCCTTTTCTTCAGTTCATTGACATCATCATCATCATCATCATCAAGTTGGAAGGGACCTTGGAGGTCATCTAGTCCAACCCCCTGCTCAGGTAGGAGACCCTATACCAGTGATGGTGAACCTTTTAGAGACCGAGTGCCCAAACTGCAACCCAAAACCCACTGATGTATCGTCGGGTGCCGGGTGGGCGTGGCCCATTGGGTGGGTGTGGCCCATTGGGTGGGCGTGGCTTCAGTGATAACGGCAGAGTGGGTGGGATTGAAAAGTTCAATCAATCAATTCCAACTTTGCGAGATCCTTTTTTTCCTGCGAGAAATTGAAATTGATTGATTGAACCTTTTTTTTTTTTTTTTGCACACGGCTGCGGAGGCCTAAAGTGAAAAGGTTTTATAAAACCCAGATGAAGGCCTAGGACTGGGGTGATGGCTCGTGTGCCCGCAGAGAGGGTTCTGCGTGCCACTTGTAGCACGCGTGCCATAGGTTCGCCACCACAGGCCTATATCATTTCAGACAAACGGCTGTCCAGTCTCTTCTTAAAAACTTCCAGTGTTGGAGCATTCGCCGCTTCTGGAGGCAGGTAGTTCCACTGGTTACTTGTTCTCACTGTTGTTCTCTGGACCTCTAGAAACTGTGGGAGGTTTTTAAGAAGAGACTGGACGACCCATTTGTTCCAAATGGCGTAGTAGGGTCTCCTGTTTGGGTAGGGGGGGTTAGACTAGAAGACCTCTAAGGCCCCTTCCAACTCAGTCCTGCTGTTATTCTGAATAGCTTGCCTCCAGAAGTTGTGGGTGCGTCATCATTGGAGGTTTCGAAGAAGAGCTTGGAGAGCCATTGGTCTGGAATAGTAGCAGGTCTCCCGCTGGAGCAGGGGGTTGGACTAGAAGACCTCCGAGGTCCCTTCCACCCCTATTATTCTGTGTGCTAAGCTGACCGCCGTTGGTGCAGTGTTGGCATACATTGCATAGAAAACTTTGACTTTCTCACGTAATAGAGGCTTCGGGGTGTGTGTCTTCAGACTGCAGTCAGGAAACCATCCATATGGGTGCTGTTATGTCCTGAACTTGATTGAAGCAGGTACAGGGAACTGCACTGAGACCCGGGCAGAACATGTGGCCTGCCAAGCTAGACTTATTCTCTAGGACAGTGGGTCAACCTTTTTAATGCCGCGATCCCCAACCGTCGTAAGTCGAGGACTACTCAACCGGTCGCAAGCTACTCAACTGGTTTTGCAGAATGGGACTTTTGGCGGGCTCAGCAGGGCAGAGACAGCCTGGACCATTCCTATTGGCTTTGGAAAGCCAATAGAATTAGACTCTATTCAAGAGAGTCTATTCTATTGGCTTTCAAAAGCCAATAGAATAAAAGGGAGTAGCACAGCTAAGGAAAAGGGGGGGGGGGAATGGCGGACTGCGTTGTTTGGCGACCCCTGTGAAATGGTCGTTCAACCCCAAATGGGGTCGGCATTAAAAAGGTTGAGAACCACTGCTCTAGGAGCTATTGCGCATGTGTTTGGGCGGGAGAATACGTTGCATTCATTGGCTGACAATGCCCTAAGCTGTATGTATAAATAGAGCGGCAGCCGTTTTATTCTGAGTTCTGTTTAGCTGCAAATAAAGGATTACCTGTTTGTTACTCCTGCCTCATTCAATGCCTACCAATGCAAGAAACAGAACAGGTACCACTTTGGTTTTGGGTTTGTGTGTGTATGTGTGTGTGTCTTGCAAACAGCCCCAAATTGGCAGCTAGAAGAGATAAGCATCACACGTTGCATCTCTACCACAAAGGATATCAGCTGTAGACCAAAAGTGGACCTATGTGCCTTTTTCTCTGCTCTGACCCCCCCCCCCACATGCACACACACACCACAAATATTCCTGGAATGTATAGAGCTGGTGAGGTCTGCAAGGTTGCCCTTTTTGCGCAAGGATGCCAATTCTGTGTATGTTGGCAGCAATGTTGTGCGTGAGGGTACATTGCAAGCAAGCAAGCCTGGATCTGGAGAGATGCTTGTTTGACTGATTGTACGTTGTTTGGTTTTTTTTAATGATGTGTGCGAATCCCCCACCTAGGAGTGATGATCTTAAAAATCAGCCCTGCTCATTCCCTGGTAAATTGCTTTCCCCCCCCCCTGCATGTGCCAGGCTTTCTTCCGAGGGGTGTGTGTGTGTGTGATGGGGATCCATAAATATCACTTTGCAAAAGAGAGAAAAAGAAGGTGACACAATTCTTGGCAAAGTCACAAACTTGCTAAGTGAGAAATGGGGATCCCGCTCCTTCCAACGGCCTTAGAAGCCGCCTGCAAAAATGATGATGATGATTTTTCGCTTGGCAGGTGCCAAGTGCAAACAGCCCAGGGTGCCTGCTGTGTCTTCAACCACAGGGCGACTCTCTCCCTCTCCTATTTTCCCAACAATAACCCTGTGAGGTGGGCCGGGCTGGCCCAAAGTCACCCAACGGTTTTCACGGCTAAGGCAGAACTAGAACTCACCGTCTCCTGGCAATTGGGCCAAAGTCACCCAGCTGGCTTTCGTGCCTAGTTTGTAGCTTGGCACCTTAGCCGCTCGACTAGAGCCAACAGGGTCTCCTTAGGATCATAGAATAGGGATGGGAGGGACCTTGGAGGTCATCTATCCCAGCCCCTACCCAGGGAAGCCTTCTCTCTCTCTCTCTCTCTCACACACACACACACACACACATAGACACACCTCTTCTGCTCTGCTTTCTCTACCCCCAAGTGGCAAAAGTGACAGGCAGCAACCACTCCCAAATCCTCCCTCTACAATTAGCTGGGGCTCTAGGCATTCAAATGGTCATCCAAGTGGGCACTATTATTATGATGATGATGATGGATCATCGCACAGTCAGCCAGATGTTCAGACTGGATTTGGCATTTTGTCTTCCTATTGAGTCCTTACCCAGGACCTGGGATAGGCAGATGTGGATGTTTGATGGTATTACAGGTATCGTCGCAGGATGGAAGCAGTTCCTAACAAGGCCGCCTTTTGCAATTGACTAATAGCGAATTTGTCAATGCCAATGATAGTGTTCAAGTGGTGCTCCAGTTGTTTTGGGATTGCACCCAAGGAGCCTATGACTATTGGTACTAGCCTTGCTTGCCTTTGCCACAGTCTTTCTATTTCTATTTGTAGGTCTTTGTATTTTATTATCTTCTCCATTTCTTTCTTGTCTATTCTGCTGTCTCCAGGCACTGCCACGTCCACTCTCCAGACTTTTTTGTCTTTCTTATCGACAATTGTTAAGTCTGGGGTGTTATGTTGCAGGTGCTTGTCTGTTTGAATTCTGAAGTCCCAGAGCAGTTTAATTTTATCATTTTCTATGACTTTCTCTATTTTATGATCCCACCACTTTTTGCTTACAGGCAAATGATATTTTTTGCAGATCTTCCAATAATAATAATAATAATAATAACAACAACAACTATTATTATTATTATTTTAAATTTCTTGGCTGCCCATCTCACTGCACGGTGACATCCAAGCCCAGCAAGCCAGAGGGTGGGGTGGGGGAGCCCGCCTTAGGATTCTAGCAAAGTGGTGGAGGGGAACTTCAGAGGTCATCTATCCCACCCACTCACATGTCCCTGCGCGCGCGCACACACACACACACACACACACACAATCCTTCTGCTCTGCTCTCTGTGTCCACAGGTGGTGAGGGTGACAGGCAGCAACCTCCCCCAACATCTTCTCTCAGTCTAGAAGAAGCCGGGGTTCTGGGCATTCAAGTGGTCATCCAAACGGGCATCATCATCATCGTTGTTGTTGTTATTTATTCAATTTCTCTGTAGCCCATCTCACTGCATCCAAGCCCAGCAAGCCAGAAGGTGGGGTGGGGAAGGAGCCTGCCTCAGGGTCATTGCAAAGTGATGGAGGGGAACCTCAGAGGTCATCTATCCCACCCACCCACTGGTGCCTGGTGCGCGCGCACACACACACACACACACACACACACGCACGCACGACCCTTCTGTTCTGCTCTCTGTGCCCGCAGGCAGTGAAGGTGGAGGGCAGCAACCTCCCCCAACATCCTCCCTCTAGAAGAAGCCGGGGTTCTGGGCATTCAAGTGGTCATCCAAACGGACATCATCATCATCATTGTTGTTGTTATTTATTCAATTTCTTTGTCGCCCATCTCACTGCATCCGAGCCCAGCAAGCCAGAGGGTGGGGCGGGGGAGGAGCCCGCCTTAGGGTCACCGCAGCGCGGCGGAGGGGAACCTCGGAGGTCATCTATCCCAACCCACTCCCGACCCTTCTGCTCTGCTTTCTCTCCCCCCCCCTCCAGGTAGTGAAGGTGGCGGGCAGCAACATCTCGCACAAGCTGCGCCTCTCCCGGGTCAAGCCGGCCGACGAAGGGACGTACGAGTGCCGCGTGATCGACTTCAGCGACCGGCCGGCGCGGCACCACAAGGTCAAGGCGTACCTGCGGGTGGAAGCCGAGGACAGCGCCCCCTCCGCCCACGGCCGCCCCCTGCAGGACACCCAGCTGCTGCTCCTGGCCACTGGGCAGACCCCCGAGCGCGGCAGGCCGGCCGCCCCCCGGCCGCCCCACCCGCCCCGCCTGGCCAAGGAGCTCAAGAAGCGCTCGCTGGACGAAGCCCCCGCCTGCGCCCGCTAGAGACCCCCCACCCACCCATCCACGCCCACCCCCAGCGCCGGAGTCCGGACCGGACCGCCTGAGTCGCGCTGGCTGCCGCGCCCCCCCAAGGCGAAGGTCTCCAGCTCCGCGACCCCTCCCCGCCCGGCCGCCCTGGATTGGGGTGTGGGGTCGTCTCCCACCCACCCCTCCTAGACCCTGCTACCCACGAACTTGGTGCGGAGGATTGCTCGCAACTGGACTCGCCTGTAAATAGCCCCCATCTGCACCCCCATCTGCACCCCCCCCGTCCCCAGTGGGCAAGGGGGTCCCGCTGAGGTTGGGGGAGCCCAACAGGAAGCCAGAGACGGCGAGGGGGGGTGAGTGGGTGGGAATTTGGGGAGGGGGATATCTGGGGTCTGGGGAAGGCACCCCACCACACACAAACACACACACACACACACACGCACAGACAGACAGACACAGACCCGCCTCCTCTTCCGCAGGACGGGGAACTTGACCCCGGCTGCATTCACACAACACGCAGGTTGGTGTCCGGCTTCCTTAGGATTTCCGTCGCTCCGTGTCTTGTGCGCGCACCCGCCCCGTGGAGGGAGAGGAGGGGGGGATGGTCCCCGGTGTATTTTGTTCGTCCCACTTTGCGGGAGGGGAGGGGGTTAGCATGTCGTGTGAACTCAGCCCTAGAGCCTCCGCGCTGGAGCTTCCGAATTGCTTGTGCTTCTTTTTTTTTTTTTTCCTTTCTTTACAAAAAACAAACACACAAAAAAGGAATATTTACTGCTTCTTCCCATCTTCTTCTTCTTATGATTATTAATATACCTGTGACGTGTTTCTGTTGCACTCTTGGGCCAAAAGAGAGAGAGAAATAAAAATTAAAAAAAAAAAAACAGCGGGACAAAAAAAAAAAATAGTGGGGGCTGGGTGGGGGGGTTGGGGGTCTCAAATTTCCAGGACTGCTTTGTATTCCGAGGGTTTATTTATTCATTTTTACAAAACAGTTTCCGAAGCTTTTCTTGCCTGGGGTTTGGGGTTCGCTTCTACTTGGGGGGGGGGCTGCAAAACCTTGGGACCCACCCTTTTAGAAAGGATGCAATCTGAGGATCCCCCTCCCCTTCCCACACGTATTTCTTGGGGTGGAAAAGAGGATTGAGGGGGTGCGGTTGATTCCACACACACACATCCGCTTTAAGGAAGTCCTTCTTTCCTTGGGATTCTTTGGCCTGGCTTCCTGGGGGCTCTTTCCTGCAACTGGGGAGGGGGGGGGCAGAGAAGGCAGGCTTCATTGGCAACCAGGACGGGCAGACCCCTGAACAGACAATCATTGTTGGTTTGACTCTATCAGCCCCCTCTTCCTCCCTTCTGCATCCTTTGTACGTATTTGTATTGGGGTATGTCTACATCAGAGTTTCTGGACTCAGCAGCTTTAAGACGGGTGGACTTCAACTCCCAGAATTCCACCCGTCTTAAAGCTATGCTGGCTTAAAGCTAGTCTGGCTGGGGAATTCTGGGAGTTGAAGTCCAGCCATCTTAAAGCTATGCTGGCTTAAAGCTAGTCTGGCTGGGGAATTCTGGGAGTTGAAGTCCACCCATCTTAAAACTATGCTGGCTTAAAGCTAGTCTGGCTGGGGAATTCTGGGAGTTGAAGTCCACCCATCTTAAAGCTATGCTGGCTTAAAGCTAGTCTGGCTGGGGAATTCTGGGAGTTGAAGTCCACCCATCTTAAGGCTGCTGAGGTCAAGAAACTCTGATTTAATGGCAGCTGTTTCTCCAGGCAGGTAGAATTGGAGTCAGAGGCAGATAGCCAAGCCAGCCAGGAGGTCTACCTTAGTGGCCAAGAGAGAGACTTGTCACCCCAAGGGAGTCCCAAAATGCTGCATTGGCTGTTAAGCATGGAAGCTGGCAAGGGTAGGGGGGGAGGGAGGGGGCGGGCAGGCTACGGAGCACCCTGGCACTGTGTGAAGTAGTTTGTGACCAGCTGAAGTGAATAAACAATCTTTTAAGTGGAGGTCGCCTTGTGGTCTCCTTTCTCATTAAACCGCCAAACCACTCGCTTCTCTCCCTTTGGGAGCCCAGCAAACCAATGCCACACACACACACCGCCCCAGTTGCAGAGGCAGGGCAGTGGAGTCTGGGAGAGTTCTGGACATGGCCAGGGACCGTCGTTCCTTTGGTACTCGGTTTATGACCATTTGTTTAGCGACCGTTCAAAGTCACAGCAGCAGGAGTGACTTCTCACCGGTGCTCGCGTTTAATGACTATCATACACGGGATCAAAATCCAGGCGCCTGGCAACTGGCGTGTATTTATGACAACCACAGGGGTCACGTGATTGCCAGGTGTGACCTTCCCAGCTGGCTTCCGAGAGGCCAAAAAATAGAATAATGGAGCTAGAAGGGACTTTGGAGGTCTTCTAGTCCAACCCCCCCCAATGCAGGAAGCCGGTTTTGCTTAACGACTGCACGATTCACTTCATTGCCGTGACTCACTTAACCACCATGGTATAACGGTGATAAAATCAGGCATGGCTCACTTAACGACCGCCTTGTTGAGCAAAAGAGATGTCTAGTCTCAGTTGTGGTCGTAAGTCGAGAACTCCCTGTAACTCACCCGTCGGTCGGGGAAAGAACAAGACAAGACAGTGGCGTGTTTCCGTACATTCTGAATTGATGTTTTTCAACCTCGGTGACTTGAAAAGGGATGGCATCAACTCCCAGAATTCCCTAGCCAGCATGCATGGGTATCAATTCCCCAAATTCCCTGGCGCTCATGCATTCCTTTTCATGCACATCCCCATTGTGGCCTGCTTACTCTTTTGTAATCCCTTCTTCTGCAATCTCTCCCCTCTAGGGGATAAGAGAGAGAGAGAGAGGGAGAGAAACCCCCCCCCCGGGCATGGTTAACTGGAGACTTCTGGGAGTTGAAGTCCACTTTTCCTTTGAGTTGCCAAGGCTGAGAAACGCTGAGCTAATTCAATTGTTGGGGCAAATGTCATTTTTCAATATCCTAACAGGCGGAACCTTTCCAGTAAATTCTTCAGCTGTGCCCTCCATCATTCCCGGCCAGGCCAGATGGGACTGACAGCAGTGGGGCTTAAGCCAGCCTCCCCCCCCCCACTGGAGGGGGTTCTTCAGTCCCCAAATGCAGCACCAGACTTAATGGCCAAAATGGCACCAGACATGTGGTGACACTGCACAAATAACCCAACTTGGGGCATCCGTTTCATGCAACCAGGATAAAATGGCAGAGGGGGTCCACCAGGGAGGGGGCAAGGGGCATGGTGAGGGTCCCACTGGCATCCCGTGAAGATGGTTATGGTGCAAGCGACGTCAGGAGTCTCCACTCTGGGCTCCTTTGGCCCCTGAAGGCTGAGACCCCCCCCCCTTAAATCCAACTCCTGCTCTCCATCTTTTATTTATTAACATTCCCCCCCCCTTTGTTTCTCAGCCCCCGCCTTCCAGGCAGCAGACAAGAGATAAGCACCATAAAATAAAAATCAATGCAGCCAGCAAAACTAATAAAAGTGGGAAAGAGAAAAAACAAAACACCCAACCTCATGGATATTAAAAAAAGAAAATACATCCATTGATATCCCTAAGCAAACATAAATTAGAAGCCTGCCTGGATACAAAATGGGGTTGGTTTGTTTTTGGAGGGGGGGGAAGGGGTGTCTTTCTGGAAGATGGAGAAGGAGGGGAGAGGGCTAGGAAAAAACATCAGGAATCTCACTGCATTTGGGTTAATTACATCCCCTCCCCAGGCCAGACACAAGTCGGTCCTAGAGACGAATGAAAAGAAGCGACACAATAGCCAGTGTTCCAATATTTGAGGGGCTGCCACAAAGCAGAGGGGGTCCCCCCCTTCTCCGAAGCCCCCGAAGAAGGCCAGACGAGAAGCAACGGATGGACACTCACCAAGGAGAGAAGCAACCTGGAATTAAGGAGAAACTTCCTGACAGTGAGGACAATTAACCAGTGGAACAACCTGCCACCAGAAGTTGTGGATGGAGGATTTTTATTTTTTTTTTTTAAAAAAGAGATTGGACAACTATTTATCCAGAACGGCACAAGGTCTCATGCTTGAGCAGAGGGCTGGAGTAGAAGACCTCCAAGGCCCCTTCCAACTCTGATATTGCGCTATAGTTCACCGTTTGTCAAACAGGAATTATTCCAACTACCTCCACATACCCATACATACGACAAGAGTACAATGAGCCGAGGTGGCGCAGCAGTTAGAGTGCAGTACTGCAGGCCACTTTAGCTGACTGTGTTCAGCAGGTCAGCGGTTCAAATCTCACGGGCTCAAGGTTGACTCAGCCTTCCATCCTTCCGGGGTAGGTAAAATGAGGACCCAGATTGTTGGGGGCAATGTAAATATATATATATATATATATATATATATATATATATATATATATATATAAAATAAGTGTCTTGGCGACGTTTCGACGAAGTCCCATTCGTCATCTTCAGGCTAGCTAAGCACGAAGCTGATGAAGATGACGAATGGGACTTCGTCGAAACGTCGCCAAGACACTTCCAATTTTACGCGGGAGAAAACCCGAACAACCAAAGACCTACATACAAACACCCGCGAAAACCTCAGAAAACAAATATATATATATATATTTATATATATATTACTGGTGTACACCGCTTAAAGAGTGCTCGCACTTAAAGCGGTATATAAGTCTCATAAATAAATAAATAAATAAATGGATTGTGTGGATGACTTTGGGGGAAAGGGATGCTTCCAGGGGTAGGAGAAGAGAGGACGTAGCCCAAAGCTGCAAAATAGGTAAAGATCATAAATTCTCAGGCTGTAAAAGAGACGTGGGAGATTTGTACTTTCAGATTTGTAAGTATTTTGTTAAGGCAGCCTTTATAAAAAAAAATTGAATTAGCTTGTCTAGTCCTGTTTCCTCCCAGGGTTGGCATCGATCTTGCAAGTCTGAAAATGGTCGTAGCTGCTGCTTGTAACTGCTTGATCCACTAGGGTGGATCCTGGTCAGGTACTAAAGAGACCAGGATCGCACGTGACGTTCCAGTTAAACTGATTTATTCCTTCCGGTGCCTAGCTAGGCACGAGAATCTAGATCAGGAGTCTTCAAACTTGGCCCTTTGATGACTTGTGGACTTCAACTCCCAGAATGCCTGGCTGAGGAATTCTGGGAGTTGAAGTCCACAAGTCATCAAAGGGCCAAGTTTAAAGATCCCTGATCTAGACTACTTTGGAGTTAGATAGGAGTCAATGGAATTCAAAAGAGATTGGACTTAGTTTGCAGCTACGTAGGGATTCTATGATTCCTCTCTTGACTTCGGCCCCAGGTTTGCCACACCTTCTAAATTTTA